TTTCTTCAAACTTAGCACTTCAGCTCGGTTACTTCGGAGGAGGCGGGGGAGGGGCGCGGGGCCGCAGCAGAGCTCCGGGGTCCTCAGCGCAGCAAGAGGGGAGCCAGGTCGCCTCCCAGCCCCGCCCACGTGCCAGGGACCTGGGAAGCGGGGGCCCGTTTGAGGACGGGGAGGCAAGAACAACCGACGCATTCCCAGAGTCCCGGGCGGCTCCCGGCTTTCTCCTTACCTGCCCTCAGCTGCCGGGGCCGCTCACCATCTACCTCGCACCCTCACACGGACCTTCCGGGCAGCCAACCTGCAAAACAGAGCAGCACAGGAATTACCCGCCGGGTTGGGCGGTTGGTCTAGGACCCCCGGATTTCTTTCTTTCCCCAACTTCCCTCCTCCCTTTCTCTTTCTTTCCAGTGGCTTTGTGCGTGTCCCTCCAGGTTTCACTTTATTTCATACACACACTTTGTTTGCAAAGCCCTACACTCTCCCGAGACACTGCCTCGCCCAGGACCGCGCCGAGGGGCCGCAAGGAGGAGGGTGGGGGTGAGAGGGGCAGAGCTGGGAGGTGGCTCGAGGTTGCCGTGGCACTCCGTGCAGCGTGGAGGCGGTGGGGGCTGGGGAAGCCCCGCAGAGGCACTTCGGAAACTAAATAAATCAAGCGATTTACCTTGTCGGAGTGGCTTGTCTGGCCGGGTTGTTTAGGTGATTGGAAATGTAGCCTGATGAAGATTGATCACCTTTCTAATGCCCTCCCCGGGTATGTGAACGCGAGGTGAGTGCGTAACCGGGCTAGGCTGCCAATCCCTGGCCCCGCGCGGGCTGAGTGACAGGGAGCCGGGCAATGGCAGCACGAGCCGGGGGTTACCTCCGCGCGCCCCCGCCCTCCCCCGCCCCCTGCACCCCGCCCTCACCGCCCGCCCGCCCGCCCCGCCCCGGTCGCGCGCTAACTCCGGGGCTCGACTGGCGGCAAACGCGGCGCAGAGCGACGCGAGGAAGACGAGCGCAGCGCGGGAGCCCAGGCCGTGGAGGGGGACGCCGGTCCCAAGGCCGCCCCGGGGCTCCCCGCCCTTCTCTCGCCCTTTTGGCGCCCTGGAGGGAGTGGCAGAAGGAGGCGAGGTGCAGGAGAACCGGTTCTCGCTCTCCCGCGCGCCACCCAACTCGGCGGCCCGGTGGGCGCGAGGACCCGGGAGCCGCGGGCTGGAGGGGAGCGGGCCCCCGGCCCCTCTCCCGGCGCCGCGGGCCCCAGTGTCTTCATCCACCGCGCCACCACCCGCAGAGGGACGCCGCGGGCGGCTCGTGCTGGCACAGGCTACTTTGCCGAGCGCGGGAGCAGCTCCCAGTGCGCAGATCCCGCCTCGGCGCCTCAGGACTCCCACGCCTGCGAGCAGCACCCGCAGGGGAGGCACGGCCACTTACCTGCTCTTCGGCGTCTCCTGGTGTTCCCAGTCCCCACGAAAGGTGTTTGCAAATCCTAAACGCTTCTTTTGAAATGTTGGAGCGCAGAGTCCCCTCTCCCTTACACACACACTCTACTTCTGAATCGAAAGGTTTGGATAGGAAACTTTCTCTTTCACACTGTCTCCTTCCCGTTCTCCTTTTACAAGGGACAATTGGGTGGAAAACGTGGCCACAGACCCCTGCCCTCAATTTCTTTCCCACATGCCGCAGGAGCCTCCTTGAAGCGATCTCCCCGGATCTTTCGTACTGGCGAAGCCCATTTCCCAATCGAACAAACTTCTCAAACACGTCTACCTGGATGGACTTGTCAAAGCGCAAAAAAAAAAGTGTTTTCGCCCCAACACTGAGTAAGGCAATTCTTTTAAATGGCACCTCCTCCTGAATATTAGACACTTTACTCCCTTTCGAGGAATTCCTACCGCTTCTTCCTAATCCCCCCTCCCCTCCACCTCAACAGGCGGAGTGAAAAGTTTGAACAGGAGTAAGTGTGAGGGCGAGTCAAGGAGCCACCGGGCGCTTCGCGATGGGGAGCGCGGGCGCTGCGGGGCCGCAGGGTCGGGCACCGAGAGCGGACCAGGCGCAGGGCGAGGAGGTGGAGGAGAAGGAAGGGGGAGCCCGCTGAGTGAAAAGGGGCCGTGGCCGCCGCTCTTCAAAGTGCTTCCCCCTCCCCCAAGCGACACTTTCCTTTGGAGTCCGAATAAAATACGGTAACAGAATATGATGGAGGGCACACTGTTTCCTTAACTGCTTCTCAAAGAACCCGGGAGATCTTCTTAGGACCTTTAATAAGGCTTTGGTCGGTCCTTTTGTTGATCTCTCAAAATCAACTCCTTCTAATTGAAGTTGGAGCTGAAAGCGAGCTAATGTTCAAAGAAAGTGGCCGCCAGGCTAACGAAATTACATTTTTTTTTTGACGATGAGGGAACATCTAATCAAAGGGGCAAAAGAGGAGGGGTGGGAGTGGGGAAGTATGAAGGAGAAAAGGTTTTACAAGATCCTTCTCTGGTTCACAAAAGTCGGCGACACGGGCGCTTCTCTCCAGAACAAAGACACCGCGGCCCATTCACAAAAGGGAGAGAAAGAGAGAGAGAAAACAATAAAAGAACGGGAGAAAAGTAAAAACATGAACAAGAAAAAGACTTAACAGGAAAAGAAACTGCGCAGAGCGCAGCGCTGACCCGAGCGGGGACACACCTTTGGCTCCCGCAGGCCCCCGCGGGGAATAGTCCGCGAGGCCCAGGACTCCGAGTCCCCGAAATGTGCAGAGATTTAAGGAAAAAAACGAAATACACCCCCGCTTTCGGTTCTGGGGAAAGGCGCGGGCTGGAGCGCACTAGTGTGAGCGGGAAGAGTATGCCGGCGCCCTGGGGTGAGCTTCGGCGGCACTGCGTCCGTAGCCCGGCGCTACCCCGGCCGGGGCCTGCGCGCTGTGTGCCTGGGTTAGCCCTCCCAGGCCTGGGTGCGTGCCCTGTCCCAGTCCCGCAAACTCTCGCACTCCCGCCTCCTCCCGGCCCCGTTTGGCCTGCAGCTGCGGCGCTGGGCCGAGGTCCGGCGCGGCGAGGTGGGGCGGCAGTGCGCGCTGGAATGTGCTCAGGCGGTCCCCAGGGCCCGCCAAGCGGGAGCCGGGCGCTCTCGGTTCCAGATGCTGCCGCGGTCTCGGGGAAGTTGGGAGGTATCAAGTAGCACGATTTTTTTCCCCCCTAATGAGAGTATTTATCTAATCCCAAATTGCAGGCGAATTTTTTTAATGCTCAACCCATAAAACCCCGGGATTAAGAGAAGAAAAAAGAGAGAAGAGGGGAGCGGGAGGAGAGTGGAGACGGGGGAGACTGAGATGAAAGTTTCTTGTATGTGGCGTAAAGGACTGAGGCGGCCGTCGCTAGGCAAATATCCAGGTGGGAGACGCTGGGCCAGAAGCCTCGACCGTTCCAGCAACGGCCGCAGCTCGGGGAGGGAATAGGGGGCCTCGCCCGGGGAGGGCCTGTGGACTCAGCTCGAGGGCCCCGGGCCGGGGAGGGGCGTGGGAGCTGGGCCCTGGCTTTAGCATCCAGGTGACCTCGAGGCCGGGCCAGACTCTGGAGGACACTTGGGACAGGGGGAGGGGTTTGGCTCCGGGGCCCTGGGATCCTGGCCAGGGGCGGAAGTTCTGCACCGGCCCGCGGGCTGTGCCCAAGCAAGCCCGCTGCCAACACTCCTCCTCCTCCTCCTCCTCCTCGGCGACCCCCGGGCCCACAGCTTCTTTTGCCGCCGCGCGGGCTTTCGGATTGCCGGCCTCTAGGCGTGCTGGGCTCGCGCCTGCGCCCGGGTAGCCTCTGGGCACCACGCGACGAAATCCGGATGCGGCGCCCTCGCCGCGGGCCTGACCCCGATGGTCCCCGGGGGCCGCGCTCCGCCGCCGCTGCGGGGCGTGCGGGCGCCACAGAGCAGCCCAACGGAAACCCCGCGAGGCTCGGGACTGAGGCAGGAGGGGCAGGGAGACGGGCAACAAATCTGGGGCTAGCGAAGGATTGTCACTTGGCAGGTCGCGAGCGGCTTGGGGGAGCCGCCTCTCTGCGAGGCTCCGCGAGAGGGAAGGTTCCCCGAATCCGAATCCTGCGTAAATGGAGTGGGTGACGCCGGTCACCCAAGCCCCAGGCTGCTCCGGGCTGATGGTTTTCGTCTGCCGGTTTCCCTGGGGTTAGGGCCGGGTTCTGAGAGCTTCCCCCCAGGAAGCGGTAGCTCCCTCTGCTCTCCTGCTCTAATAAAGACGGCAAATACCCGATTTCATTTAGTTCTGATAACTTTTCAATAACTTCTTAAAATCCTTGTCGTGAAGAAATTCTACCGTAGGAAGGTTTTATCATTTTGAAAGACTGGCGGCTGCATAGTTTTCGAAAGGAATTTGTGTGTGTATTGGTATAAATATTTGTCTGTATATGTACATATATGTATATGTGTATATATGTATGTATGATCTAGGCTAACGTATAAATGCTAGTGGACTGTTTTCTCTGTCTCCAGACTTGTTGAACGAGCTTTCTTTGTTTCAAGACACCTCTGTAGAGGAGTGATGGAAACTACCATAAAATCGCCAGTTTTTTCTGTAGCTTAGAACTTCTGGTTGAAAGTTCCCTTTCCCTCATCTCATACACACACACCTGCACACACTTACCCTCCTCCTCCCCTCCAACAATAACCCTCTTCCTTTCACTTCAGCATCTACAGTCTTGCCGGTTATCAGAAGTCATAGTTCTTCCTCATATGAGTGCAAAATTATAACAATGGAAAATTACATTTTTTTCAGTGCTGTCGAATCACAAATCTCCTCAAATCGTTAAGAGATGACCCTCTAAAAGATGATAGTTTACACTGCTTAAGAAAATATGACTAATTGCTTTTCAATTCGCATTCGTGTGTCAGCAGGGCCCCTCTGGGGTGGTGTAAACTTATTCAGCTCCAAATACAGACCAGTATACTGCCCTGCATTCAAGAGGACCATTTTTCCACATGAAAAGTCTTATGAATACAAAAACTTCTCAAGTTTTCATTGCAAAGAAGTAGCAGCAGTGTTTAAGGTAAGAAAGTTTCTGCTTTTATTGAAAATTTATATGACTCAGTATTGTAATAAATAAACAGATAACCATTTTCACAAAAAAATGACAGTGCTATGCTAGAGAAGAAAATATTAATTGGAGGATTTACTCATAATGGCAAGACAGACTTTTATCAATACAGAATAAATATTAACACCATTCTTGAGACAATTTTGAGACCCAACAAAATGTAGGAACCAAGCTAGATGTAATAAATAATTATCCAGAGAAAAAGATGGCGCATTCTCAAATGATAAGACTGTCTTTGTAAAGTGATGCATGTCAATTAGTCCCATCCTTACAGCTCACTTCAAATCACAGGACTTGTTTCAGGCTACGTTAAAGGGCCATCCTCCGAAGAAAGCAGAGGAGAAGTACCCTATTATCTTTCATAGTGAAACGCAAAACAACTGCAGAAAATCCCACTGGTAAATAGAACACAGTTTAATAAGTAAATTGAAGATGATCTAACTATAAAATTTAGACTCAGTGTTACATATGGCAGGACTGGAAAAAAATCATTCATGACATTTTCCTTATCCCTCCCTCTTAAGCCCCCTCCCACCCCTCATTATGCTATTAACAATAACAACAACAACAAAAATGTTTTAAAATTTTTCTCCATCAAAAAATGAGGGAAAATAATGAGGGAAGAGTTTTCTTTTCTTTCTTCTTTGAACAGTTTCTTGAACACTGCTAATACCAATCACTCACAAGATGTCTGTGCAATCTATTTTACATGATTTCAAGGAAATGATTAACACACACACAATCCTTAAACAAAGCTATTTCAGAGTTCTGTACACTGTCTGGAAAAAAGGGAGGAAAAGAGGTGGTGGTAGTGGTAAAGAAGTACAATCCAGCCAAACAAAATGTTAAAAGTTTTAAATCAACAACGAGAATGACTTTTTCTGGTCTGGGGACCCAAGGCTAATAAAATGTTGGTCAAGATTCTGGTCTGGCTTCTATTGCAGAACACATTTCTCTTCTTTCTTGGCCATCTTGCCTTTGTTTTGCTCCAGAGTTCGCTCCAAATGCTCATCTTCTTCTTCGGCCCTGGAAGTCAAACAGGAAACCAAATTATTTTTCTTCTTGGAGCGCAGAGCGGCACTCTCCTCTCGCCCCGCATTCCGAGCCCCAGAGGGAACGGGGTTCGCGGGGCCAGCGGGAGGCTGCCCCGGCCCACCCGGGACCTCTGGACTGAACTTTCCGAAAACTTCTCGGCCCCTCAGCAGGCGGCAGAGCCTCGACCCCGACCCCACCGCCCACTTACTGCTTCTCCTGCGCGTCCAGGTCCCTGACGAGCGCGTCGCGCTTGTCCACTAGGGCCACCAGCTCATCCAGCAGGAGCTGCTCGCGTCGCTTCTGGGCCTCGGTCTTCTGCCAGTCTGCAGGGGACGGGAGGCTCCTTACCCACCCGGTCTCCCACCCCACCCGGCCCTCCCCTTCCCGCCTTTTCCAGTTCCCTTTTATTTCTCTGCAAACCATATTACAGAGCCACTAGCTAGTGTTTCACGGAGAGTTTGGCCGTCGTGATGAGGATTTCGCCCCTAAAACCCTACTTTCTAAGTATTTTCCGTAGATGGAGACGGCTACGGGCTGGGCTGGAACCTGCAAGAGACCAGGTGTGCGCCGGTGGCCAGCGGAGGTGCGCACCTGATGTCAGCCAAAGTGGGGGAGGGAGAGCTGGAGGCCCAGAAGAGGTCGGCCCGAGCGGTGAGGGGGGAATGTGGGTGAATGAGGAGGCGGGAAGCAGAGATGGGCGATAAAATCACCCTGAAAAGGCTAGAGAATCTGCCTGAGAACCTATCCTCCTCCCCCACCCCCATGCTCACCCCATACAGCCCATTCTTCGCTAATTTCCTCTTCGCTCTATTTTAGCAGTTGGATGTATCTCACACTGGGCGCCATATGCTTCACAATAACTTTAAAAGTAGTGAATCGGCTAATTAGCATTTTTCTTTGAAGTAAAAAATAAATTTGCTCTGCAACATTACACTGCAGCTCTCGATCGCATCACAGCCAGTTTTCTTTTGGAGAGGTTTGCTGCGTGGTTTCAAATCAAAGCACTTTTGCAAAGGAAAAATTACATACTTCTTTTTGAAACCCCGGTTGGAAAATCCGATGGGCAGTGCTCCTTCCATGGGAAGGGGCAGTTTTTTGACGGTTTTAGGCCCCAATAATATATTTCCTAATCATTGCTGGTCTGATAATTTCCTTAAGATGAGCAGCAGTTTCGTTTAATAAAAACAGGACCAAATCGAACATTTAAAGCACTTTTGAAACCAAAGCCAACTGCTCTCTGGCCAGACTGTAAGGGCTTGTAGCTGTCAATCAACCCCCAGTCTACCCCGCCTCCCTCATTAGGAAGGTAAACAATGAAAAGAAGAAGTAGATGATGAGGCAGATAGCCGAACAAATGAGGACCTAGAGGGAAACAGGACACCAGCTTAAAAAAAAAAAATACCCTGGCCACTGACTCATGTAGCCCCCTCCCCCAGCAAGTGCACTTTCCAAAAAACAGAGAGGAGTGCAATCCTTTCTGGTTTCTCTCTTCTCTCTCCATTGCCCTGGGCAATCATGTTAAAACTCACATGGCTGGTGCTTATTCAGATAAACCCAACAATGCACACCGCTGGTTACCATGTGAATCTTCACAAACCACACAAGAATGTGCTGGTTCAAATCCCCCCGACCCCCTCCAAAGCAAAATTTATTCAAGACAGCAAACTGCTCAGCAGCTTTATGAAACCAAATGGAGCTAGAGGGAATTCTATCTTGTATTTACAAATTAAAAATTAGATGCATCATCATGCAATAAAGGTTAGAATAGCAGCAAAAAGCTAGAATAATTTATTCTATTTTATCACTATTCCTTTCATTACAAGCTCAAATACATACACACATATATATTAAACATGCCATATATTAATTACCCACATTCGATACAAAACATCACAAATAAGTACATTAAATAATTGGTCACATTACATTCTTATTTAAAAAGAAGTGAAGTATTGTATTGCATAGAGAGGAATAAAGAAACTATTGCTATGGAAAGTTTTTTTCTTAATGTAAGAATTTTAAAAATATATGAAACAGCAAAACTGGAGAAAAGCCATATCTATCACAATTTTATTCCTTGGATTTAAATGCAACTGAGGTCAGGAATGCTGGACAATTTTCTAATCTGGTTCTTGTTCTTAATCAGTTTCATTCTACACAGCAGATAAATTAATAGACTCTCCAGGTTGGAAAGATCTTAAAGGTCATCTAGTCTAATTTCAGGTAACTGTAGTTCTAGAAATATTAACTCAGAGAAAAACCTGCTAAATTTGTAAAAGATTTGTAACTAAATTTTATAATTATTAAGATTACCAATTTTGATGAATATGGATTTTTCCATTTCCAACCTCAATAAATCATTCTGATTATAAGCTTAATTTATAATTCTTTACTTCCAAAACATTTTGATAAGAGCTTTACTACTGGGAAATAAAATTTCTCCACTGTAAACTTAAAAAATATAATTAAGTTGAAAATTACAAAATTTTTTTAAAGAAAAAATAAATTTTAATGACACAATCTTCTTGAGTAAATTATTCTTTCCCTATATTTGACCAGTCACTTTTAAGGTTTTAATTAGTAATTAGAAATATCAATATTTCTTTAATTTTTTTAAAAATAAGGTTTTAACAATATGGATAGGAGAGGAAACAATTTTATATTTTTAATCCATTAAGTATTGAATAATTTAAAAAATCTTAACCTTTTCCTAGCTCAGTGCTGACATTTCACATAACTGTAACAAAAACATTTTTAAATTATGAATATTTAGGTAATTTTCATCATCTCACAAATTTAACTGACATTAGAATTTTAACTGTTTCAGCATAAATTTATAGGATTTTTTATATTAAATTTGTCATCACTACATTAATATCTATCTACAAATAATTAGTCAAATTGTGGAGAAAATAGCTATGTGCAGTGAGTAGATTTTACACTAGCAAAACTACTTTTACTTTGGATTTGCTTTCTCACAGGAGTAAATTTATACACATTCACACACATATTTGAATGCTAATTTGGGAAATTAAGTAAACTATTTTGATGATTTAAAAAAATTTGATAACACCTTTAAAATTGATCAAGATTCACATTTGTATGTTCAAGGTCTACATTTAAAAATTTTTAAATCCCTCTTTAAATAGCTTCACCTAGATATAATGTCATGTTTTAAAAGCCTGAATGTAAGTTTATATGTTACTTGTTATACATTTTAAGAAAGGATTACTCACCTATAACAGCTAGCTAGATGCACTGACTTTGCCTTGGACAGACTACAATGTGGGTTTTGATTAATTTAAAGATTCCAGTGTACTTTTGCTACAAAAGCCATATCCTCTCACAACAAATAGGATTAAGTTTTGATGCTGCATTTGAGCCAAAGTGTTAAAATAAAGAGATTCTGTTTATGTCTATCTGCACTGAGCTGTTTTGTTAATCTAAAAAACTCTTTTTTTATATATAGGGCCAATTATTCATTCCCTGATTCAGTTTATTTGCTGAAGTTGATAATTACCTTGGAAAAAAGGCAAAAGAAATACCTATAAACACTTTAATAGAAAGGACCTAAAGTTCTTGTAGTAAACCTTCAACCTTGCCACTATAAATAAGCCTGGCACTTTGATGAAAATTAACACTAGTTTTGTAAAGAGCACATTGGGGGATTGCAGTCAAGTCTTATCTTTAGTTCCAGTCAACTAGCAATCCTGAAAGAGTTTGCATCATCATCAGAGCAGGCCATTTGATAGGATTCTACCGCTGTACCTAATCAATCTATGGAAGACTGTGGCTGTGCTGTGTAACAAAGCTAAAATAGATTTACAAATGGGGTTTTAGGGGATAAGCTCCTCCACAGGATTACATATTGATTTTAAATATAAAAAGCTTATCATATAAGCCATAACTACAAAAATAGTGAACCTATGCATAAATCCCTTTAGAAGAGCACCCACTTCAAACTCTAAGCCAAGAATAAATCAAGATGTACAAAATCCTAGAGAAGATCCATTTCTTGTGCAGAAAATGAACACACCACTTTCCAAAAGCCCACCCCAATGTGTGCAGAAATGAATTTATCTTTCCTGAGGGGGCATTAAATAATCTGGAACAGAAAAACTATAGGAAAAGTATCTGAAAGATGCTTGTTAGCTTAAGGGATCCTACAACTTAGCTCAGTAGAGTGAAACTCCTGCAATGAAAACACCTCAGGGAAAAAAAAAAAGGGCAAAGTGATTATGGATTCTCAGAAGAATGGATATATTGAATGTTATTATTATTATTTTGCTCTCAAACCAAGTTGTTAATACTTCTTTCACTGGACTATGACTATTAATATTCTGTGCTTTTCTCCTAGTTAATGGTTTCAGTAGCAGATTATTCAAAAATATTTTAGTTTATTTATTATGAAAACCATCTTATGGCTACTAAGTAGAAGAGATGGGAAAGAAAAGAGGAAGGGACTTTAAAACAAAGGAAAGCAAAACAAAACCAATTAGTGTTGCCTGTTCATGTGTTTTTCTGTGGTGTTTTAACACTCTGAAAGACTACTGAATGTGTGTCCATTCTAAGGGCTGGCTGAGAGGATACTGTCTTCAAAGAACTGATGATCACGATGCTCAGTATCTCTCTAGGACAGCCCAGGCCACATATTGCCCAGGCTAATGGGACAGGCCTCTCTCTGAGAAAGTGTCTTTATTTGTATTCAACAGGCTGCTTCTTTCCTCAAGTCTCTTTTCCCCCTCAACCAGCAACAGAAACTGGCTGAGAGATTTAAGGCACAATCACACATGGGACAATAGTATTAATTAAAAAATAAAACAGAACAAAACCACAAAAAATTAACAATTGTATTAAAGGTGTATGAAAAGAAAAACATTAATTTTTTTTCTCTTCTTCAAAAATATTACTTTCTACTGCTCTTCCATGTGTACAAGGGGAGCAGGCAGAAAAATGTTAGATTATTTAAGACTGTGGGTCTATTATATAGGGATAGGATGGCCAATGAAACTGGGATGTTTTATATATCTTATGGCCCTCCTTTAAAGATGGTACTATTTGGTAATAATACTGGTTTTGGGATAGAAGCAATATCTGCCTTAAAAGTCAACTGTATTGTATCAAGCTGTATCTTAGGGATGATTTAACTTACTATACATGAGAAAGTAAATTTTTAAACACTGTAATACTCTGTATTGAGCATAATATATAATTAATCTATAAAGAATAAATTGTATAATGAGTTATACATACTATATACAAACACATTTTATATTATACATATATATATACCATATAAATAGTATTTGCTATACCTACTTTTCAAATGACTATTTAGCTTTCCAATCTCTTTTAAGACTATACCATGACTACAAAAATTATAGCAAGAGGAAAAATACCATTTAGTATATTTGTGCATTTTATTCAGTGGCAAGTTTCACAGAACTTCTTAAATAATTTTGACAAATTTTATAGTCATTATTAGTGATATAATTTGATAGCCACTTGAAGGAAATTAGCTATCTGAAAGCCTTTTAAATAAAGTAAATCTAATTTATAAATTAGGATATACAAATGTTGTTAGTCATATTTATCAAATGAGATTAGGAATATAAAAGTAAGAATAAAACTTCTATAAATGTATAAGATACTATTTAGATAAACAGCATGTATTTTATTTACTAACAATTTTAATTAAAATATTTTAAAACATATGGTTTCATTTGGCTTTCTCTTACAAACTTAAATTCCCAGTTTCTGAACTAATTAGAATTGACTTCTTATGGATCAGGTACCTTATCAGGTGAAGAAAGAAATTACAATGGACAGTCAATGCATGTGTTAAGAGGTCCATACAGAATAGGAAAATCAATTTGCATTGCTTAGACAAAAGGTCCATTTTACAGAGCCCAAAGGATTAGCTTTTAAGTGGACATCTTTGAACGATAAGACATTTTCAACTAAGAGGTATAAGGAGAACAGCATTCTAAAATAGTAAGAATTTTTAAAAAATAAGCATATATAGTAAATGCCATAGTTAAGCTAGCTGATGTTTATTGATATTATGAACCATGCTTAGGATTACTATATATGTAATTCATTTAAAAGCTTTATATAAAGTGTGAAAGTGTTGCATTTATCTCATATGCCGGAATCTTTGCCTGATTACTCACTTAATAGGAGCTGGAATCTTAAGAACTATAGCAGACTGGACAGTTACATATTTGTGTTGACATCAATTAAATATTAAGGTAAAATTTAGAGTATGAATGTGAAAAATCAAAATGATAGATCTTTCTCAAACCTCTTTAACTTGCACATAGTAAAATGTAATGAAATCATTTAACTAGTTATATTTTCCATTTAATGGACATTTAAGCTTACAGACAGAAGTTAAGACAATTTTATGTTTAACAGCAAGCATAACGATGATCTGAATTAGGGTCCTTAGGTTTTACATGACTATTGGTTTCTAACTCTAAGGCATTTATTTGCAATTCCTGTAGGTCCTTAGTCAGACCACACCTAGTGAGACCAGAAGTGTATTACACTCTTTAAATCTCTTTGACAACTGACACCTCAAACACCTCATTCGGCCATGGCATCTCTTACCTTCAATGGCTAGCATTGCCCGCAATTCCCGATTCAGCAGCTCATATCGTCGTTCTAAATCATGTTCTTTTTCCCTAGGCAAGTTGCAAAAGTTCATCAATATGCTAATTACTAAATCATTAAACACTTAAAAGAACCTTTAGGTTACATTGATTTTAGGACTCATAACTGACTGTTCTCTTTAACTTTAAGCCACTCAAAACAAATGATACACAAACCTAAAACCTTCCTCAGGTTGAATATTTAATAGTGCTATTATTTTTCTCCTTCAATTTTGAATTGCACAGAAGTATATTTTAATCTGTGGATAAGTAGCCTCAATCTTCAATGCTTCTTGTATTAAGTGCCAGGTATAAGGTTATTTTGTAGAATATTTTTCATAATTCGCAAGAAACACTTTTTTGTCTAGAACTCCGTGTGAAAAGAGTACAAGAAACATGAAAGTACCACCAGTGAAAATTTAATATAGAGACAATTAAAAAGGCAAGATTAGTTAAGTTCTGCACTTCTTCATAACTCCTTTATCAAGTTCAGGCATGGCAGAAATGACAAAAATAGAGGTTTTCACTAAAATAAAACATGTAAGCCTGCTTCTTCCCACACTAGGTGGCATAATATAAGAACGTTGTTAGTGAGAAAAAGGAACAAGCATTAAGTCCTATGTGAACTAAATGCTAAAGACTGAAAATGCTGACATTTGGTCTAGTCTCCATTTTACTGTAATTCTTGCAATCATAAAAAGGTCACTTCTGTGTAAATTATTAATCTTTTTTCCCAAAATTTAGGGTAACATCATTTGTAGAATATAAAGTTAGTTTTGTCCTTATTAAGACATTTTAATTTTTAACTGAAAATTTGATGTTAAATAAACTTCAATTTTATTTCTTTTCCCACTAAATATAAACCAAACATCCTTTTTGTGCACAAGTGACTTCTTAAACACAAAAATTGTTTATATTACTTGGCTTTCTATATAATAAATACATTTTTTCAGTATCTAACACTCTAAAATTCTTACTCTTAAGGTAAAAATTGGTTATATACTATTTTTAATTTTATTTTTATATAAAACATAATCTCTAAGGAAAGAAAAAACATTAAGCCTAATAAGTATGAAACCCCCAAAAAAGACAAGGATGGAAAGCCTAAGATTCATCAATGTTGTAGGAAAAACAAGCAAAGTCATAAGTACTTACAGGAGAGAGAGCTGGTTCATTCTCCTTATTAAGGCGTTTTTCTTATTAACTAACATAAACCACTCCTGCATCATAGCTTCTTCTTCTTCTGTGTTCCTTCCTATAATTTAGGAAGAGATATTTCTTATTCTGTTGACATTTGCAAGCCAAATAGTAGTTCAGCACAAGTGTTTTGTTTTTTTTCTTTTTAACACGAAACATATTTTAGCTATCCCAACAGTACAAGTTAAACTGTTTATAACAACATCAGATTAAAGTCCGAGGCCTGAAAAAAGGAATCAATATTTAAAAATTCATAAGCCAATCTCCAAAGCTGCTATTATTCACCTTGTATATTTCAGTCCCCCGAACATATTTACAGATCATACTAAGTACAATACTAATACTAAGTACAGTTAAAAAAAAAAAAAGTGTTCCAACTTTTAAATCCTCCCCAGAGGCTGACTTGTTATTATGTTTCAGTGAGGAACTCATGGTGCTGACAGACATACAGTCATGATAAAAATAAATAAATTAATTAAAACCACATTAAAAATCATTATGAGAATTATAAGACTACCAGTAATGTCAGAGAAGTCAATAGATTTTGTGAGAGCTTCCACCTGTAACAACTTGCTTTTTTTCTTATTTTCCTCCCCCAAAGCAAACTAAAGGTATACATACATATACCATTCCAGAACTCATCATCCCTAACAGGGTAAACACTTGCAAATTATTTAAAATACATTGTAAATGACCAGGCTACAAAAATACTTAGAACTATCTGTGAAAAAACATGATGAACATAATAATGTTCAGTAAATGAGAAAACATTTGCACAGGGAGATGATTTAAAATTTTAGATTATAAATTTACTGATTGTACATTTAAAATTCATTTTCCCTAATATCCATTCCATCATCTGTACCACCCCTCCCCTCAAAAGGCCAGTATGTCAAGGATTATAACATATAGCATATATTTGGTATTGTTCATGCAGAAGTAGGCCACAATCATACTCAAGAAAAATATTAATTCCCCAACCCTCTTCCTTCCTCTCCCTTCAAATTGTATCTAGTCAAATTTACAATTCTTTGACTTTTTTTTTCTGAATTTCGCCCATGATTGGTTTATTGTTTTGCTAGACCATTATTTAATACTTCAGTCCAACTTCTAGATAGATTCATAGGGTTAACTTAAATATCTACTAAAAAATTAAATATCCCAGGCGAAGACTAAATAGCCTAGTCAATTTCCTAAGTTTCATTTTCTTCTTAAGTGAGATATTTTCTTTTAACTTTCAAACACACTACCAGTCCATTAAAAAATATTCAAACAATACAGAGGTATAATTGAGTAAAAAGTCAAGGCCTCTTTCACCACCCCCACCCTCTCCAATTCCCCCATCCACCTCCCTTCTCCAGAAGTACTATTGCAGTTTAGCGTATCTTCTTCCAGACCACATACGTAGCTATGTCTATCACATACAGGTATATACCTTATCTGGACACATACAGGTTTCTTTAACATAAGGACCCTGTGACTTGTTGTTGTCATGCTGTTTGAAGATCTACTTCATTCTTTTTTAATACTTGCATAAATTATGGATGAACCATAATTTATTTACCTGTTTCCACATTAACAGAAATTTGAAAAAATCTTTAGAATGAAAATCTAAAATAAAGAGCTGATCTGTGTGCAAAAGATTAAACATGTATTTCTGAGCATCCCTGTAAAATAGATATCTGTTGTTCATTATTAGGGAAAATAGTGAGAGGATATGTGCTTTCATTAAAGTCTGTTAAACTTTATGGTATGAAGCAGATCTAGGAATAGATTCTTTGAGTATGAACAAAGGTCTTTATTGTTTTACAGCATTTTTAATCTCTCTTTTAGGGTAGCTGGTTTTGTATTCACTTTGGACCATGTGATGTCTTGACACTGGTCATGTGATATAGGCTGCGATAGGCACAAATCCCTGGGTAGCAACAAAAGAAGAAAGAGTAAAAAGAAAAAGCTGAGAAAAAGCTTGCAATTTGGAAAAAGGCCAATTGTACCCTGGTGAAGGCCTTTTTGATCACTGAAATGACACATGTGTGCAATATTAATAGGTGCAGTTTTTATGATATTTTGTTTTCTGATTAAAGACTTAATTCTTGCATTCATAACCTAAGTGGTTTCTAAAAATATACACATATTAAAACTTTGTTTTGAGTTTAACCTAACCTGTAATTGAGGCTTTCAGGCAATAAGACTAGAAGCAACTAGCCTATTTTTAAATTAGCATCATTTTCTTCAATGGAAGACTGCTTCCTTGAGAATAACAATATTGATGTGGTACTGTGTTATTTTCAGTTTAACTCATGCCTATGATTTCTACATAAGAGTAAAAGATCCACCTCCCCTAACTGTTAGGAAATGAGAAGAGTCTCATGTTTAAAAAGGGAATAAGCCAAACAATAAGAAATATTTAAAGACATATTATTCAGTGCTACATAGATTATATAAATTAACTGAAAAAAACATATTTGAGGTTAAATCAATTCTGTATCACTAACTCCTTATCTGAGATAGTACACAGTGATGGAAATCTATACTTAGCCTAGTAAAAAAAAAATTAAATTTTCTTCTAATACATCATTACACCATTGTTTTTAGGGATTTAAAATTTTTTTAATTTAAAAAGCTTTTAAAAGCCAGTAAGTTGAACCATTACAAATTAATCCTGACTTTAATAACTGGTTAAAGACCCCTTTAGCTTTATAAGTAACAAAAAATATTAAAGCCTGTGATCACAGTGAGCTTTTCTCATTTCTCCTCTAACCATTTGTTATTTAATCCAATACTAGTAATCCAATTTGTCCATCAGACTTTTAAAGGGCAGAATGCAACTTCCTCAGCTTAGACACTTTTCAAAGTACAATATATTTTTCAAATGAATGCTGGATGTTTCATTTTTCCCAACTATTCCTAGCTCTAATGCATGAGGAAAAAAAGAACAAGATGAACATTGTTCATACTGATTAAGTAAGAGCTCATTAAAGAGCTGTCAGTGCGGTACTTTGAATATGCATGAAGCATATAATCAGATCTAGTACCGTCACTAGAGGAGAATACGGTAAGTACAAAGGATTGATTTAATTACTTAGAGTGGGCTGTGGTGGTAAAGCAGTCTTGTTAGTGCAAAAAGAAAAAGAGGTTGTATTCTGGCACTGTTAGAAAAAAGGCAGTTTTAGCTTCTGACACAATACATAATCTCAGAATAAAGCACTTTACATTGTAGCTTAAAATGAAGATTGTCATTATTTTATAAAATGGCCATAAATCATTTTATCTTGTTTAAACTCACCTAGTTAACTACCTCTCTTTCAAAATTATCTTTAATTTGTAATCACAACTACAATTTTATCACCTTAGAGTCAATACTGATACTTTAAATTTTTTTCAGTTTCATGAACTGAAAAGTTCAAAACCTATATTATTGAAGACCATTTTGAAATTTAAAAAATGACAAAACACTACAGTTCAGTACACAGTGACTAAAATGTGAAAGCATGGCAGGGTTGTTAAACTATATTTTAAAACAGAGTGCCTCATGTTTATTATAAATATACTACCAATAAAAACATCACCTTAACATTTTAAAGTATTGACTAATACAGTCTCTGGTAATGTTTTTTTCTACTTTGTTTCCTTAAAGAATTCTGTTTTGTTATTTTGCCTTGTGGAATGTAACGTCTTTCTGACATCACAATCTCTTATTGCCAGTTTTATCTTTTAATCAATTATTATAGCCGAGTATGATTTATAAAAACTATTAAATAATGAAGAGTAATGAAAACAGCAGGAAAAGTAATATGTAAATATGACTTCAAATCATTCTTCCTATCACATAGTTAACAAAAACCACTTAACACAAAGCAGCATAATATAGCACTACATGTAGTATAAATACTTAATAAATGTTGGTTGACAACTGCCTTTATATTCCATCTCCTCCCTTCCAAAATGATTTAAAGTTAAAATTTAACTTAAGAATTCATTTCTTCACCCAGGAACATGTATGTAGTTTTCATTTGTTTTTTCCAAAGCAGCATTTTCAATGTAAATTTTAAAATGAACAAGAGGAAAGTGATGTTAAAAACCTGAAATTATGAGTTATATTTTCAAAAACTGTCTACTAGTTAACCTTTCCTAATTAATCTTTCACCATAAGCTTATTGTCCGTTTAGAAAGATATATTTTCAGACAGTGCATTCTTTTTTTTTTTTTGCGGTACGCGGGCCTCTCACTGCTGTGGCCTCTCCCGTTGTGGAGCACAGGCTCCGGACGCGCAGGCCCAGCGGCCATGGCTCATGGGCCCAGCCGCTCCATGGCATGTGGGATCTTCCCGGACTGGGGCACGAACCCGTGTCCCCTGCATCGGCAGGTGGACTCTCAACCACTGCGCCACCAGGGAAGCCCAGTGCATTATATAAATGCAAAATAAGGAACAATACAATTTTAGCTGAAAAGAAGAGGAATTCAATGGGAAACAAAGAAAACACAGAGATGAAGGCACTGTTGAAACATATACACAAATTCAAGATTTTCTACTATGAAAACATTATATAATGCTGAAATCTTGCCATAGCTCCATAGTGGAGATGGCTGACTAGTGATCACATATGGCCCTTAAAGGACACAACGTAGCAAACACAAACCAAACATAAAAACAACAAAGCTGCCATTACAAATTGTCCCTATGGTATGATTACACGTATATGATAACCTCTGAAAGATTTAGTATATTAAAATAGAGATACACATGAAGGTATCCAACTAACTGATACTGGACAAACATATTTTAATAACACAGGAGGTGAATTCTGGTAGATTTACTTAATGGATGAGAAAGATTAATTTACTGCAGTTATATAGGGTCATGGACACATGAACTCCAAAGCCAACATCGTTACAGGACTCCAGTGCTCCAGTTTTAGAAAATATTTTAAGCTTAGGAAATAGAGCTTTATTATGAAAACAAATTTTACTATATGAGCAAACAGTTGATAAATGTTTCTACACTAAGAAAATCCTCTAACAGCAATCAATGTAAATGAAGAATCTCATAATCCTTAT